CTTAGAATTACAAAAGCTTCTGGAGATCTTTTATGTTTCGTGTATGCGCAATTTTATGGGATCCTTTGTGTTTTAAAACTCTTTACTGCTCGTTGGTGCGCTCATTGCTTGAGTTTGCGTGTGTTGTCTGGAGTCCCTACCAGGCAGTATGGATTGCACAGCTTCGAGTCCAACGTAGATTCGTCAGATACGCATTGCGTCATTTCCTTGGAGCGACCCGCTTAATCTACCACCGTATGCTGATCGCTGTCGTTTGCTGGGCTTGGATATTCTTGGTGAACGGAGAAACGCATCGCAGGCTGTCTTCGTTGCCAAAGTTTTGCTTGCTGAATATGATGTGCCGGAGTTACTGGCTAAGATTAATGTATATGCACCTGTCCGTACACTCCATCCGAGAGCTTTGCTACACGAGGAAGCGCACAATACCAATCATGCAGCTAACAGCTCTCTTGTCGCCATGATTCGTCAATTCAACGTGGTATCCGACCAATAATAAATAATAATAACAATATTGCACAGGTAAATGCACATTTGATCAATATGATCGCAAAAACGGAACGACTGGACGTTTTTTGGCACAGGTTATTGGTCGGCGTAATCAGAACTATTGTTGGTTGTGAAAATGATTTGCTGATTATCGCATGGCAACGCCAATGCAGAGAGAGGTTTTTCGGTAAATGCAGAATATCTTTGAAAACATGAGGGAAGAGTCAAGGCCCAAGCGCAATGACAGCGGAACGGCAGTGGTAGCGGAAAAGCCCGATCTGAGTAAGCCTATTTGTCGGATTGAAAACTAGTTTGAATCAAATCGAGTGCGGTTAGGCATCTTGATGTCATTTGTGACAGCGTTTCCGGTCCGCTTCCGCCCACATTGCGTTTGGGCCTTCAGTCGTAGCGCGACGTCAGATCTATGATGGTGTTACTTATGCAAGCGGGTTCGAAAACTTACAAATTTTGAATGAACTTATTCAGTGAGTTCGAAAAATCGCATTCGCTTTCCAAGTAGACAAGGATCGTCGTTTGCAGGAGAAAATTGTTCTGCTCAAATGATAAATATTTTTAAACGTAATCCGAAAATAAACACATATTAAACTTGCAATTTCTCGTTGTAATGTGAACTCACTGAGAGAATAAAATGTTAATGATAATTAAACTTAAATGAAGAATTAAAAAAAAAAAAAAAAAATTTACCATGTCTGCGGTTGTCATATGGAGTTCCAGAAAGTACGAAACTGACTAATGCATGAGCAGTGCATCCTCAGGTTCGGTTGCAAAAGCAAGAATAATCACTGCTCTGTTATTTTACAATAATTTATATGTAAAGAGAAAGGATCGTCTACGGGTTGATTTTTATTTGGCTGTGAAATTATGAACACAAATTGAGAGCGTGGTGACATTGATTAAATATTCCTATTATTACTTTTTTTGTTGGGGGGAGTTGAACCACTGCGTCCATTATTTGATCTTTTGTGGTACCCCTTATGAATAGGGAGCCTAGTTGTGAGCAGTAGTTATTCATTATTATATTATAATATGTATTTATAGCCCTAGGTCTATTCACATCCTTCGTAGGTAGTCGGTCATATGGTCTGTAAAAATTGTATTAGTATCAAGTTCTGTTGTAAGTGCCATGAGTATGCTATTCTTGATATTTTCGAAAGCTTACCCTGCTGCTCATTTTAAACTAACCTTAATTTAAGCTACGGTATAATAAAGCACATCACGTTGTAGCTTCTTAGGTTTCCTTTGGTTTTGTTTTTTCCGTCGATCTTGTTTTCCGTGCTGAGCACCAATACTACCGACGTGCCAGGAAGGCAGCTCCCACACCTGGACCCTACCTATCGACCCATCAACTCATGAACCGGAGACCAACGGCTTTACTTCCCATCCGAAGGAAGGCGTGATCAGAGATGTTATGCCTCAGAACATCCCGACGGCGCCGACTGGTATTGAACCCAGGCCTGCTGGGGTGAGAGGTAATCACGCTTACCACTACACCACCGGCGCCGTTTAGCTTCTTAGGTTAAAATAACGAAGTTTTGTGGACTGGAATTTTTCTGAAAACCGACTGGAAAGTCAGGGAAAGTCAGGGAATTTTATTTTCGACTTTGAGTCGACACCCTGCTTAATATCTTTTTATTGGGGTGCATTCTTTAATGGACGGCACGCTACAGCCATCGAAATCTCTTCAGCTAGCCGAACCATCTCTGGCAAGATCCAGTAGAATGTCAACCCTGACCTCTATGGCAGTGACCACTACCGGGTCCAGTTACAGCTCCATGTCGCCGCAGCTCCTTCCGCCACCCGTAGACCCGGATGAAGGTACGAGGAGTTGGATTGGGTCGGCTACGACATTTACATACGGTCCCTCATGGAGCAATGGAACTCAGGTTGTAAACAAGAGTTCACCGATGTAGTACGGGATGTAGCCATCGCATCAACCCCTAAGACTGGTAGTAGCCCGGTGCGCAAAGCCCTTCGCTGGTGGAACGAAGATACAAAAAAAAAGCAGTCAAGGCCCGCCGGGAAGCCCTCCGGAAGGTCAAGCGGCTTTATGCTAACGAAGCTTCACAATCTGTGCCTTCAAGAAGTCCGGAACGCCAAGCTGGTTGGCTGAAAGGACTACCCCCGATTGGTGGGGTAGGATCAAAGCGGCAAGCGGCGCATGGCACCACTGTACCACTGTAAGCGGCGTCCATGAAATGTGGTCCTGGGCCCACTTAAAACTTTTTTTTTATATTTTTTTGCGGTCAACCATGCCTTTAAGACCTTTCTTATAAAGACGATTTCGTACGGATTGTGATGTCAGTTGAATGGAAAACTCGCTTTCAATCTGTTTCACAATTTTCAGAGCTGATAGTCCCCGGTCCAGCTCCGCCTTCTTCACGATAGCTCTATTAATTCGGCCAGTAGTCTTTGAAGGACGCCCCGATCGCTTAGCTGATGAGATAGAACCACGCTTTTTGTACATCTGCACAATTCTAGCGACCGTATCTTTGTGAAGCTGGACAATATCGGCAATATCACGGTAGCTTTTGCCAGTTTTGTGATGTTCAATAATCAAATTTCGGATACTGATAGAAACTTGTGCTTTTTTGGGCATTTTGTAACAAATAACTTCCAATTTTGAACACGAAACTGAAATATTGAGCACGAGAACTTCAAGAGCATTAAATGTCAAGTTTACATTCGAGAAAGTTGCAGAATACACACTAAAACTCTGTAAAACCCACTTAATTCTAGTATCCGTTTGGAAGTGGATAAACTTTTTTTGCGTAATTTTTATCCTTTTTCATAATCCAACACATGAAATCTCAAGAAAAAATATAAACGTTGTATTTTCAATGGCAATGTGATAAATGAACATAAATTGATAAATCATGGAAGAACACTCATAAAATTAAACTGATTTTCACCAGAAAAACAAAAAAACATTGTAAATTGGTAGGTGGGTGGATAAATTTTTTTGGTCGTTTTCTGAGCACAACGATATTTTTATCGATCCCGTAGACATTCATCTCGAGATTTAAATTTTTGATCGTTGTTACTAAATCTATTCGTTGACAGCTCGCTCCCATACAAAGTCCCACCAAGGGGCGCTAAGATGGTGATTTTTGCTAATGTAATCATACTTATTTAAAAATAGTTCCAGTGTACCAACATTGATGAAATTTTGGATTTCGGTTCCATTTTTAATGCAGATAACGAATATATCAGGCATAACATTTGATAATGGCATAAAAGCTTTTGTAAACAAACTTTCTAAGGCCCTTTACACGCGAAACAAAGTACGCCCACGCAAACCAACAACGTTATAGGATAGGAGCAACTATCACCTTTCCGAAAGTGGTATTGGTTTGCGTGGGCGTACTTTAGTTCGCGTGTAAAGGGCCTTAGAAAGTTTGTTTACAAATGCTTTTGTGCCGTTATCAAATGTTATGCCCGATATATTTACCTCAATACCCCTAAACAACCCAATTGAACATTTTCCAAGATAACTTAAAAATCTGTGATTCTCGGTAGGAAAAGTGTAAAACCGGTAGTTTTTAACCTGTCGTTTGTGAATCGGTAGGCATTAGACTGATGCAAAATTTGAAATTTTCGCTCCACAGTGTTCAAATGGTTTCAAATCGGGCCCTGATTAGCCTTCGAAAGTTTAAACTCATTTGATAAGAAACTGACTTGGCACAAACCATTTGAAGTTTATATGGAAATTTCTATAGGAAAACAAAACTTTTTTTTTCATTGTCCTCTAGCCTTTCTACATATTGTACTGTTAATAAATTATATTGCTATTCTTATGGGAATTTTATCAGCTACAACTTTGCAGAAAATCGGTTTTCAGCCAAACGTTAAATTAAATTCAGAGATTGATAATCTTATGGCAAGATTAAGCAACTGTATTGTGGGCAACACTGTATTCTGCAGTGTGACATAGTAGCCATGATTTGTGTCCTTTATTCTACGCGCCATAAACACCAATGTTGAGTGCTGAACAGTTGATTGAGCATAATCATAAGACATCAGTGACTTGAATCATTAATAATTTTTGTTCCTTACATTTGATCGAAAAGTGGTCTTCAACAAAGTTGTAATCATTTTCTAAAGTAGAGTGGACTGGTAAATTTTGAGATGGATATGAACCGGAATTATGGTTTCTCCATAGTAATTCCCATATAAACTTCAAATGGTTTGTGCCAAGTCAGTTTCTCACTAAATGAGTTCAAATTTTGGGAGGCTAATCAGGGCCCAATTAGGAACCGTTTGAGCACTATGGAGCGGAAATTTCAAATTTTGCATCAGTCTAGTAGGCATCCCAAAAATCGGTAGGTATGGCAAAAATAATCACAATCTTATGAGAGTACGATAAGGAACTGATTTGATATCGTGTGAGCCCAAGAAGGCCCGCGAATTTTAAATTTTGAACCACCTAAGCAATGTCAATAGGGGACGTGATATGCTTCTCAGTTTAAACGCTTTTTTTTTGTCATAACTACGTCTTGGTATACATATATATATTTTTCACAATAATCTTTACAATATCTTAAAACCTTTGTTAAATAACATTCTTCTTTGATCCCTTCCGATGGTGATGTGTCTACACAATTTAATTTAGGTGTTATTGAAACAGCACTTCCTAGACATGTGATCTACACACACTTAGGCAAAAACGGTTACAATATTTGGGAATTGCTAGAAAACATTCTACAAAACATCGTCCGTTAGTTTGTCGTTGTCTCGAGGTCGTTGTTACTATGCGATTAATTGACTACCAGTTCCCTAAAATACTGCTCACGGTTTTGGTTTCCCTTTTTTTGTTAACTTGTCGACTAACTGTTGTTTCAAGGGATGCACTTGGTTATCATAGGCACTTTCTATAACGTTAAAAGTTGACTGCTTGAATCATTATAAAATAAACTTCAGTGTAGCTTTTACCAGTATTGTACTTGCCATGCTAACAAAAGAAAGAAGGAAATTTTGGGTCTTGACTAATCGAATAATATTAAACTTAATCACAATTTTGCTCGTCAATAGCTAATAAATGGCCATCTGAATTTTCCTGTCAACCAATATACAGTAACACTGGAATATTAATGTAATATCGTGTGTGTACTAACGTAACATTTCAATGAAGTTTTGAATAAAAACACAATGCTACTACCGAATTGCACAGCGCCTGGTCCTCGATGAAACTCTACTAACCTACTAAGCCATAGCTTAAAACCTGTCTGTCCACAAATGTGTTGCCATGCGACCGTTCCTTCCGGGAGAAAGTCAACTATTGTTTACATCTTTTTCAGTTAAAAATTGCGCAAATCCTCGTCTTTGTTAAATTAAATGTTTCAACATACTGAAATGTGTTAGGTTCGAATCAATCTCGCATCAATCAACTGGTGCTTGCCTAATTATACAAGAAGATTTGTTCACATTTGACAATCGTGTTAAAATAGACACACTCAACAACGTGCACGCACAAGTGTAATATGTTATTGCATTTGGATCGCTACAAAACTCAAACGCACAATGCGCGACTTCCTATACTCTACAGTGTATCAGCGTTCTAAAACAGATTGGGTCCGATGATGGTTTTAGTAGGTTGGGGTCGGAGTGGTTCTTCGTTTTGGTTGTTCAATGGCCTCCGAATTCACGCAGCTCTCGGTTGCCCAAGTCCAGTGGGGGGCGATAGTTGTTGACCACCTTGCCGTACTCGAAGGTCTTGTGTAGCGAATCGTCACATGGGCAATCCTCGCGGGCGTCATAGCAACGCATCTCACGGAACAGCTCCAACTGCTCGTGGGACACCTCGATGGGTTCCTTGAACAGGATCCAGGTCACCGACTCCGAGCAGGGCGGAGTGGTCAGCGAACCATGGTAGGTCCAGTAGGCCTTGCTCTCCGGCAGGAGGTTGGCCGGATCCATGGACTTGTTGATGGTGACCTGAATGGGAGGGTCGAATGAGAACGAGGGATTAGTTGTTTGTTAGTATTCATTGATTTGAAAGAACATAATCGCTCCGGATACTTCAAAATTCAAATAACGCTTCTCAATAGATAAGTAGGTAGAATTAGGACTAAACTGCCGCGTGACAGCAATGTGACGTGTAAATATCAAAATTGTACAAGAGAAGCTTTTTTTCTGTTCAGGAATTATAAATCGGTAGCTTCAGTCGAGAATAATAACCCTATGTGAAATCCTCATAAGGATCTCTTGACATTTGAATTTTTGAAATCGAATTTGAAATTTTTGAATTTTGTTCTACGAACGTCACTTTGCTGCAAAAACAAGATTTCAGATCGACGTTTCGCAACAATGACGTTCGTAGAACAAACTTTACTAAGGTATATTTTGGTCCAAAATTCATGTTTTTTTTGGCTGTTTAATACAATTCAAATGAAAATGCAGAAAAGTTTAAATTGGCCAAAGTGGAGTATACGTAATTTTGATGTCTAAGACAGTAAAGCACGGTATATGATATGCCAAATATAATAAAGCATATCCCACTGATGTAATTAAGTTTTCTCTTGCGTTTTCCAAATAAAAATATCACCGTAACCATGGATATGAAATTCCAATTAATCAAAATACAGTAATAATGGTTTTTACAATAAAAAAATAAACATTTAATGTTAACCAAACCATTAACCTGTTTGACTAATTTTCATGTTTTTATCCAAATAACTTATTTCAACCATCTTCAAATTAGGTACTTATTAACTTGTTGCGTTAACAATGTGTAGCTAAAGCTATTTTAGCAACCTCCACCGTAACGCGGTAACAGCACCGGGGGTTACTATTCAAGTGCAGAAAATATTTATTAATCTGGCTCCCGGTGAACAGCGGATTGATAAATCCGAAGAATTTCGAGATTACGGCGTAATTGCTTTTGTAAACAAACAAGTCGTTGGCCGATTTCTCGCGAATTAAAACTCAATAAAAAAATAACAACACAAACAGGTAGATGAATTATTCCTCTATCATTTGGGGTAGTTTGTTCGCGAGATTGTGCTTTTATTCGCGAGAAATCAGCGATTGACGTGTTTGTTCACAAAAGCAATTACGCCCAAATCTAAAAATATAGCAGCTCGATAGCAGTCGACTAAAGTGTTGCTGTAAATGTAATGTCGGCCTAAATGTCCCTAATATGGACCCATACATAAATTCAGCAATCGACTAAATTTTCAATAGCGACCAAAAATATCCTTTAGTACCGTCCCAATGACAATAAATAGCAGATTTTTAGCGATGCGCCCAATCTTAGATCCATAGGCCAACATTAGAGCCATTTCCCCTAGATGAATTTGGATCTGGGACAAACATGTGGACAGCCAAGCGGTCCTCCGGAAGACCCGGAACATACGTAAATATGGACAATTACTAAACATGAATCTAGATTTGTTTAATCAACTTGTTCTGATGCTGCATGAATGAATTTGGATTTGAAACCATAATGTGCATTCTGGTGACCACGGAACGGTCCTCCGAAAGATTCGGAATATCCTAAAGGTGGTTAATTCGTAGAAAGGTCCTAGAGCTCAGTATTTATTTTTAAACCACTTATTTTGATACTACATTAATGAATTCTTTCGTGAGATCCGGACCATGCGTAAAAGTGATCTATTCGTAAAAAAGATTCAAGCGCTCCACGATTTTTTTTGAAATCACTTATTCTGTATGAATTCGGATCTAGGACTAGCATATGCAAACAGGTAGCGGAGTAGTTTTCTGAAAGAGCATCTACAAAAGTAGTCAATTCGCATAAAGGATGCTAGATCTCCACGATTTTTATTTAAATCTATAATCACTCTCACTCACTTTAAACTACATATGGCTACAAAGGCTTTTAATATTTGATTTTAAAATAAAAATACGAACAGTAGCAAAATTATCGGATGTAATGCCTAATTAAAACTGCCCGAAAGATCTCTGAGCTTCCCTTAAGTTCTGTAGATTTCCTTTAAGTTTCTAAGTATCTTTTTTAAACTTCCCGCAATTTACTGAATTTAATTGAATCACTTTGAAGTTCTTTGATCTTTGACTTAACTTTCGTAACTTTTTAAGAACATTCGCTGACTATTTTCCTGAAATATATTTGATTGCCCTGAAGCTATCGAAACTTAATCTTTAAGATCTTTTAACTTTCCCAAATTTCTAGCATTCAGAGCTTCCAGAAAGATTCCAACATTTCTTCTGATGGTTATAGATCTACCGTATTGAATTCAACCGACATTGACCAAGCTAAAATATGTAATCTAGTAATCCAGATGGGCAATCAAAAAATGCACTTTCATTAGAGGAGCATATGAAGATTGATATGTCGATCATTTTTACGATTGACCACTTTTATGGATCGTACGGATCTCTCAGAGGACCGTTCTGTGACCACCAAATTCATTCCTGAAGCATCGCAACAAGTGATTAAAAAAAAATCACTGAGCTACGGATCTTTTTTTTTACGAATTGACAACCTTTACGGATGTTTTGGATCTTCATGACTGCCTGGGTCTTTAGTTGAATCTCAACCTTCAGTCTTCATGGTCAGGTATACATGGTGGCAAGTGAACCAGGAAAACCGGGAAAAAGTCGGGAATTTCATAAGTCCACCAGCAAAATAATCTTGTTTGTATAATTAAAACAGGTTTTAAATTTTATGGATGTCAAAGTTTATTTTTATAATCAGGTCAAAACTAACCATTTTGTTCAAGCTAAATCACAACTAAACATTGATGAACAAAATTTACCCTGAGAATTTAGTAAATATATTTTGTATTTATTTTTAATTTAATTTTTTCTCGAATCATTGCATGTATGATTTGTGCTTAATTAATAGCAGACTTAAGCAGTGCCGACGCGTAACTACTTTGAAGTACCTGTTCAACATGTTCAATAAAAAAGTTCTATTTCTAAAAACTTCAGAAAAGGCCTTCGAACTTCATGCAAGTTCTACAAAATTAGGGAAAGTCTTACAAGTTTCAGGAAAATCCTGTGAACTACTGTGATGACCTACGACGGTCAGGAAATTTTTTCGAACCTTCAGAGAAGTCCTACAAATTTCAGAGAAGTCTTACGAACTTCAGGGAAGTCCTTTAATCTTTGGGGAATAACTACGAATTTTACAGAATTTTCTACAGATTTAATGTAACTTCTACGACGTTTAGCCATTGCTTAAAACTCAAGGATAATCTTATGACACTTATGGATTTTTTCCGAGCTTAAGAGAAGTCTTCAATACTCTTGGAAAGTCCTCTGAACTTAACATAGTTCTCCAAGCTCAAAAAAGTTCCTAGAACTTCCGAGAAGTCGATTGAACTACAGGTAGTCCTACGAAATTCATGGGACCTCTCCAAACTTCAGGGAATTTCCAAGAAATTAAGGAAAGACCCACAAACTTTTGGAAAACACTTCGATATTTAAAGCCTTATGAACTTCAGGGAAGCTCTTCTAAATTTAGTTACGTTTTTTTTTCTGCGGTTCCCTACTAGCTTCTTTTCAGCAAACAATCAGCTAAAGATTTCACGGGCATTCATAAGAACCTTGTGGTACAAGGATTCACTTTATTTTTTAAAAATTAAAAAATGTTTTTTAAATAGGGGGATTTACGTATTCTCGTCAATCTAAGCAGCGTCCGCACTTCTATTAGCATTTTCACAGCGTCACGCACATATATGACGTGTCTGTTTGTTTCAATTCATCTACTGCTTGCTTCTCTATCCATTCCAATCGACAGAATTCTTCAAAACTGTTTGAAAGCGTTTTTACAACGCTCTAAACTTCTCAGGTGAGTGTGACTATTGTCGGCAGCCTCTTTTTCTTCGGCAACCTTCCCATTAGAACTGCGTGTTAACCAGCTGTTCTATTATGGGCAACTCGAAATCAGCCCCATTTTGTATTACGTATGCTTCATTTGAAGAAAAATCTGGCATAAAAGGATTGCTCGGTCCTACAAATATAATCAGATTGAAGCTGAAAGACTAAAGAATCATTTGGATACATTCAGGGAAGTGTGTTGATGGTAAAACATAGTGAAATTAACGTTTAAATTTTGATTGCCGAAAACAGTCAATAGGTGCCGAAGCCGACATTTACCCTACATGGTTTTTAAAACCAGCAGGAAAAAACAGGAATTTCAAAATGGAAATTCACTTTCCACCCTGGGTATATCAATATTGTCGAAAAAAACAATCACGAAACTCTGTGATCAATTTCAGCTCGAAGTTAGACGATAAGTTTAGCAACTACCGGTGCGAAAGCCGAAAACATAAATCTACAATTGTGATAGCAATGATCGGTGCGTAAACTAGTTGCTAACCAAAATAGCAACGGCTAAAGTTGTAAAACTAGCAGCTCGAATAGCAACGCACCGGTGCGGGTGCTCTTACTAATTTTGATATGGAATACAATTTCCGAAGAGCGCAACGCTCAATTAGTGCATTGCGTTTCTATAGATCAAATTCAAGCAAGGTTGTTTGCTGACGAAATGACGGTAAAAACTGTCATTTCAGTTTTGTTTGGGTGTAGGTATAGGACATTAAATAAGCAAATTTGATACGCCATAAACTGCTCACTCACTGGATTGGTAGCGCGATAGAGACAATTATAAACGTAACACGCGCCACTTGTAGAGGGTACATCACGCTTCTCTAGGTGTATAAATAACCCTTATTTTCCTACAAAAAAGGCCACAACTATGGATCGGTCGGTAACGACTTGCAAGCAAATAAACGCCTGGTTGCGGTGCGCTCGTCATCTAAAGTAATCAGAGAAATGGAATACGACTATTACGTGACGACCATTTCCACTTCCATAAGGTGCGATTATTTTCAAGTTGAACTGACCGACCGCTCCTTGCAATCCGATCAAGTGCAGCCAGCAATCTTATTGGTAAAGATGAACATTCAACTAAATCACTTTCCAAGTAGGCACTTTAAGGTGTCATAAGCGATTAATTGATCGAATGCCGTCAGGAGAAAATTTGCATCATCCAGCGAATGCAAATTGGTGTCTCGTGTAGTGATAGCCGATCCGTAGCTATTCTAGGCCAGACATTTGTGAGAGTATGCTCCTAAAATGAGCAGCGAAATGGATCGGATACCAACCGAGATCCCATCGCCTATGCAGCCAAGATGGCTTTCGAGCGTCATGCGAAGATAATAAATTACGGCTCAAATGCTAATCCGGTCGGAAGGGTGACTAATATCAATTGAAGTGTGTAGTTTAAAATATGTGTATAACCATAGGTATAAGTGCATATACTCACTTTGTCACCCTTGTGTGTGATGAATGGCAATAGCTTCGCAATGGTATCCAGCTCCGGGTGTGGTTTGCCGACCTGCAATGGAAAGTACATGAAGATATAAATTATTCGAGAAATAAAGTCATGAGTAATATTAAAATATGCATTATATAAGATTATTTACTGATTTATAACACAACACATAATTCACGTATTGATCAATCAACTACATTCAAAGATGTCAAACTACATGTTGCTTACAAACATATCATTCTCAACAACTTCACCTGGAAATTAAGATCAAAGCGAAACTCCAAATCGGATAACGGTTAATCTCGTAAAATACATACAGTAAACCCTACATTTGTACGGTTGGTTGTACGCTGTTTCTCGGGTGTCCTTCAACCAATTACTAGTTATCTACAGAAAATCAATTGATGGTTGAACGACAGCGGATAGCGATGGGTGAACGGTACCCACCCACTGTTTAAATGGAGGGATTACTGCACTACTATGTAAAGCGAGTACAATACCAGACAGTTGAAGCAAAACAAAATCTCGCTGGCAATGGTCGACCTTCAACTTGCTACTCCCCGACCGTAGATCGTGCCGAACGTGGAACTCGATCTTGGTTGTATACTCGGAAACCGATCGAGCCCCCGCGGAAAACAGCAGCCTCTCAACAGTAAGGTACAGCCCTCCATTATAGTACCTATGTACGTGTGTTGCACGTGGTTTGGCGGTGTGAACTGTAGTCATCACTCATGGTATATATAACTGTATTGGCTTTATTCATACGGACGGAAAAATGTCCCGCATGCTAGAAACACAATGATGCAGTTTAACTATAAAGACACGATACAAAGTAGGAAGCAATATTAGGTACCTACTTTCCCGGGTCAACTATTATTAGCGAAAACAATCGTTTTGAGATTAATGGGGGCTTAAATTAGGATTCTCCACAGTGGCCTGAAGCCGGGCTAAACACTATTTTTCTTATGATACTGCCGTTATGTGCATAAGTGTCTCACAGTTCACTATGATTGTCCAAAATATGCGACAGTTATGCGTATAACGGCAGTATAGAGCAGCCGTTCTAAAAAAAATTACGATTGCATTGAGAAATTCTGGTTATAACAATGCAAAAAAGCCATCAAACCGTGGTCATTTTCTCACGCCGCCGCCACCGGTGCTCGGCCGGATTAAAATCAGTCACGCCGCCATTCAGTATTTGGCCATGGTATTTATCAGTGATGGCATGATCATTAGCAAATTGATATTCTTCCGCTTTCATTCGCTCTCGATATCACGCGTGATATTGGAACAAAATATAATGCTTGATATTGATTTTATAAGCTCCTTGGATATTGCGAGACTATTCACAACGTGTAAAGTTGAAGCAGAGAGTTGAATCGCCGCAAAAATGATACCGTTGCACCTCGTTTTCTTAGAAAGAGAAGGCATAATGATGCTTTCTCTTTTTTTATCTTCACCGCTGGCAGACACGAAGCGACTGCTGCTAGCCGTTATGGAAGTTTCGGTTGCGTTCGGGTGTAAAGCAAAAATCATGAAACTCAATCTCACCACAGTTTGAAGAGATTTGCAGCTGGTGAATTTTGTTAGCTTGATATTCCGAGCTGCGAGATCACAGCTTGCAACGAACCACAGTTGTGCGCTTGTTGATTTTTGTCTAAGGTAATCAAGCGTGATCTCGGGTTTTGGTGCGGTTTAATTTTTTGATATTTTTGCAACACTGATATTTATTATTTTTTTTTAATTACTCTATTATGCGCAACCGAATGAAAATTACAGCACCGGGATTTCTTGTTCACTATACAATACAATTAGGCGAAAGTGTCATTTACCAACTAAAAAAATCTGAGGAGTGGAAAATTGCTATAATAATCCTTGAATGCATACAAAGTTTCCTCAGCTTTAATTCCTAAAAATTTTCTCATCTTGTACAAGCTTCCATCACTTCCAAGATCTCTCAATTATATCAAGATATTAGATCACAACCTTGAACCTTTTCGAAGATTTTTTCTAAATATCTCAGCGAACCAAAAATCCCAGCGTTTCTTCAAAGTGACCTTGAAGTTCTTCAAAATTTCCAGAATTTCTACGGAAATTCCAAATGATAAATTAAGTCCGTTAAACTTTTCAGAACACGGATGCTAAATGGACTTTTATGAAGTTATTTTAAATTAAACAAAGTTCCCTTAAACTCAACGAATTTTCCGAAAGTTTTATAAGTTTTCCGAATGTCTACAAAGCACCCCTAATGTCTCTTGATTTTCTCTGAATTTATTCACTATGAAATTCTTCGAATTTAGCATACATTTTCAGAATTTCGATGATGTCCTCTGAAAATTTCGAATGAGATTAAAGAAATATCACTGAGCTTTAACATGATTCCTGAATTGTTTACAAAATTCGCTAAATTTATTTGAAGTTCGTTAATTTTTCACAATATTTGATAAAGTTCAAAAAATTGTTCTGAACTTGTGAAGTTTCATGTTCAACTGAATTTCACTGAAGTTTAAGTTTAATGAACTTCTACAATGTTTATTGAGCTTTTATAAACTTAGCTGAAGCACTTCTAGAATGATTTCAGAACTTCAATGAATGTCTACGATGTTTTCATGAGCGATTCCAGACGAATTCGGAAATCCATAATTTTATTTAACTGAAAAGTTTCAGAAACGTCCTCATAACCAAAAATGCCATTTTGCATCTTCAGATCACTATTTTAAATCGCGCCTTAATTTTGAAAAGGGCCTATAGAAAATTGATAAGCTTATCTTCAGAAAACTGTTGCTCGAAAAAAGTGTGTCCAATCGGTTTGGTACCTTCGGCAATGTTTTAGGGAACAACTGAAACTATTTGAAAAAAAAAATCAATTCACTCAAAAAAGTATTTTCCCATTTTTTTAGATTTAAAATAAAAACTTAAAGCTCGACGACGTAGTACTTCGAGAAACTTTGCAAAACTTCATAGTGCTGAGATTTTGTTTAAAGATCAAGGAACTAGAAATTCTTCTTAATTTGTAGAAGTTTAAGACGTTCAGCATACTTTTTAAAACATTAGGGTTTGACTTAAGAATTTACTGGATGTTTTAGGAGCATTGTTTCGAAATTCATAGGAAAGGTTCAGGATCATTTCTGAACTTTGGAGAATAGATGACATAGATGTTCTAAGGTCTTGGACGAATTGAGAGAACGTGTAAAAATAATATTTATGATACTTGGAAGAAGTTGATGGACCTCCATTGAAGTTGAGAACATTTTCAAGAAGTAAAGATAAAGAAACTTTGTGAATGTTCAAAGGACAATGGAGTCATTTTCTCGCCCTTCCGCATTTTTTGGTGGCCTTTGCCGCTTGCTGAGTAAGGTGTTTCATATCAATAGTAGATTTTTTATACAATTAATAAGGTTCACGCCGGTCCACGCTGCCGCAAAATTTTGATCGGCGCACAGGTCTAAGTTCAAACTGTATAATTGTCTGAATGTTATTGAAACGGCTTAAAACGCTAAAATTGCGCGAAAACGCCAAATCGGCCAAAAAACGGCCTTGAATGTGTGAATTTGATTAGAAAAAAAATGAAAAAATCGTGGAAACGTCTGAGTAGTATCAAAACGACTAAGAAGTATTAAAACTAATTAGAAATATCAAGCGCAAAAAAATGACCTAAAACACAATCACTAAAGTAGTCTCATGCTTATTGTGGCTAAAATGCTACTTTTCGGAATTATGAAACTATGAGATATTATAATAATAGTTTTTTATAAATAAGATGCTAGAAGAGGAGGTAAAGTCTGTGTATGATACATAATACCTGTAAATTTCGCTTCCAGAGTGTCAAAATAAGCTATTTTAGCTGTAATGAGTAATGGCGATGAGTGAGTACTCTTCGTTATGAGCAATGAGCATTTCCAAGCCTATTCACAACAGGAAATTAATTTTCATGTTTTTTGACAGTCGTCCGTCAGATTGTCGGTCAGATTGGATTTGTTTCTGCATGGTCGTATAATCTAGATAAGAACAGATTACAAACTAAAAGAAGCCAGTTGACAACTCTTAATATAAGGTCCTGATCAGCTACAAAATGTATTTCCACAATTGGATATTGAATTGCAAACAATTGATTCTCAGGCATGTCAAGCTAACCCGTTCCATCATAGACGTGAAAAGTGACGCGATGCGATCAACACAAAGAACAATAAATCAGGTGTAATATTTGAAAATGACACAAAAGCTTTTGAAGACACAATTTATAAGGCCCTTTACACACGAACCGAAGTACGCCCAAGCAAACCAATACCACCATTAGAAAGAGGACAGTTACAGTTACGCCAGAAATAATAGGAATCTTCTGAATTCGCCGCATCGCATAGCGTGTTGTTTTAGGGTCATATCTATTTTGTTCCACCAAGCCCAATCGATTTCAAATTAGGTCCTCATTCGAGCAGTTAAAATGACTTTTACTACCACTCAAACTTTGAAATAAAACATTATTTCGAGATTTTGTCTTCTAGAACCACGAGAAAAGTAGCCTAAATTTGTGCGTTTCATAAAAAAAATAGAAATTAGTTGGTCCAGTTTTGTGAAATCACTGGTAGAAAGTCACGCCAAAACTGCTGGACAAATTGATCAATTGTCGCAAAATTTTAGCTATTTGGATGTGAACTCATACTGCACTGGCCCTTTGAAGTTTATAAGGGAATTACTATGGGAAAAGTGAACTTTTAGTGAACGGTTACAATTGAGCTGCTGAGCCTCGTCTGTATACTGGGGCAAATGAACTTAAGAATTTCATAAGGCACGACTTATGAATTCCATAAGCGTGACTTATGAACGATTATCGTCTTACACGATGGAAGTTCTGTACGCCTTTAGCTTTTCCTATTTCCAATGCAAAGTAAGTTGACCCTTACATTTGATGTTCATGTCATTTGTTTTGCGTGTAGACATGTGGTGAATGAAGGGAAGAGTGTATTTTAGAAGTGATTTGAGATTATTGGTTGCAGAGATCTTCAAAAATTATATTTGAGTTAGAAATTTCCTAAATGTTTGAATGTGTTTAGATAAATAAATTAAGTTCATAAACAAGTGTGTCACGTCGAACGGTTTATTTTCGTTAATCTCAATTGTTTTCCAAGCCTGTTATTTGTTTTTCCTTTCAACTCTAAAGTATTCTAAGTTTGGGGTCTTGAATATTTGTCAAAGTTTAATTAGACCTATATGATTGCTGTAAAATCAGAGTAAACCTTGAAATCCTCCTCAAAGCATCCTAAAACAGTTGTCTAAAAATGATCATTGTCTTGAGTTTCAAAATTTGTTCTAACCCAAATACGGGATGTTGAAGGCTTTTGGAAGTCCAAGCTCGAGATTTTATCGATGCCTGGGATTTTAATATTGAACCAGTAATCTCTAACACCAGTAATTTTGAGTTTTGTCCGCTTAGTATGAGATCGCACCATGTTTCGAAGTTCCAGAATAATAAATTGGGGAAATGGCTCTAATGTATGGATCTAATCGCTAAAAATCTGCTATTTATCAATTTTTTTCTAGATGAAGGCGTCATTGGGACGATACTAATGGATATTTTTGGTTGCTATTGAAAATTTAGTTGATTGCTGAATTTATGTATGGACTCAAATTAGGGGCATTTAGGCCGACATTACATCGATTTCCCCTACTATTTTTAATGTTGAATCTCGGTAATTTTTCCAATTTGCAGAATCTTAAAACCCTTGCATTTCAAAGAGCAGTTTCTCGTAAATAAAAATTGATGCACGTCAATCAAAAGCACGGTAATGGTTAAAACTTACTGCAAAATTGAGTAAAGAAGTTGGCGGACATAGCAAGAATTGTTCGATATATTTAGACAAAATCTGAAAATCACCATGCGTCTCCCTTAAAAAGTACGCTGTCACGTGTTCCCCTAGTTGCGAACCTAGCTAGTTCTCATCAGTTGGGCGCTTCAACTCTGAAGACTATGGAACTATGCACACGTTTACCCACAAGTGTACAACAACAACAACAACGACTCAACACTGGGATGATGATGAATGTTAATTTATTCAATTCTGTCTAACACGATAATTCCAACGACGATGGGTTAAATCGTTTGCGACGCGTTTTTTCTCAGTACGCTGTTAGTTAGATATAAGTACCTGCAATATGGTGACGTAACACTATTTACTGACTAGAGCGAGCGACGAGGGCGACGCACAGAGGAGTATCTACGGCAAAATCCTGGCCAAAATTATCTATTGCTGTTTTGAGTGAAATTATGTATTGATATAATGTAAAACGTATACTTTTTGATTTACGGTTTAGCAACTTTGCAGTTAATTTAATTGTTTATAGGAAAGTTTGAACATACTGAGAGGTAAGCACATATCATCGGTAAGCGACGTGTGTGTGAGAAAATTTGCGAAAAAATCTAAGGGCACCGGTGGCCCTTAGATTTTTTTCGCAAATTTTCTCACACACGTCTCTTACCGATGATATGTGCTTACCTCTTAGTATGTTCAAACTTTCCTGTAAAACGTATAAATAGGTAATTAATTTTGAGTCAAATTGGAACAAAAACAAAACAAAACAAAATTGGACGAAAATTTGCCAAATTTGCTCTACAATTATGGAAAACATACAGCTTCCAAAAGGCTCACAAATGCCGGTCCAGACGAGTCCGGAAGAGTTCTCACCGTTGATATGTTCATAACAAATTGAAGTTTCATTCGTCCATAGATTATGTGATCAGATTTTGCAAGATTCGACAACTTTTCTAACAATGATAAAGTACAAAAATATACAAAAATAACATTGTATCAAAATTCGATAAACATTAAAATTTTGACATCATTATCCTCCCTTAGCTTAGTCGGTAAAGACGCAGCTACAAAGCAACACCATGCTGAAGGTGGCTGGGTTCGATGCCCGGTCCGGTCTAGGTATGTTTCGGATTGGAAAATTTCTTGACTTCCCTGGGTATAGAGTACGATTGTACTTGCCACACAATTATACTAATGCAAAAATGTAACAGACATCGAAAACTCTCAATTAACAACTGTGGAAGTGCATTTAGAACACCAAGTTGATAGCACGCAATAAGCTAATATTCCGATAAGCAATAAGCTTGAAATGCGATTAAGAAGAAGAAGAACATCCATCAAGGAACTCATTTTCTGAGAAAGAATGAACATTGATAATTTCATTTAGGGTTGTTACTATCTGGTTGACTTTGAAAAAAAAAATAAAGCTTTAAATTATGTCATTGTTTAAACGCTGCCCAAAATTTTTAAACATCATTTTACGTGTTAAGTATACAAACACAAACATAGTAATATAGACAGCCTCAAGAAATTTTGTTTGACTTTTGGCCAGAATTTTGTTCTAGTTACTCCTCTGTGCGACGCTCGGGGCGTATTGAACTTTAGAACGAACCCAATTGGGTGTCACCGACAAATAGTCTACGGTTTATAGACTGAACCAGCTACAATGCTAAACGGTTTGTTCAGCGGAACAAAAATGTGCGTTCAACTGGTGGTGTCGGTATATAAGCCGCATTTGTTATGATGATTAATCAACGTCGGCTCTCGCGCATGTGACTCGTTCCGGAACTGACTGATTTATCTAAACTAGACACCGAGGGTTCTAAAGTTCTAGACCTTTACGGGCGCGATCGGTTGGGGTGACCTGACACGCATCACTGGGCGATGCAATTCAAACTTGGTAATGTGTTACTTGATCATCAACTATGACGGCTTGATCTCGATGCATTCGCGATTCTGTAATTAACTGTGACGGAAAAAAAACGTTAACCGCAAGTCTGGTTTCATACACACAACCGGAAAATGTAAAATTCTATTACAGATTTGCACGAAAAGTATGCAGAATTAACAATAATTCGGCGGTCACCGGAAGGTTTTTAAAATAATTTAGTAATTTTTATGATCGCTTATTTTTCGAACAAAGTTTGTTTTCCCAAATGCATTGCGTCTAGAATTCATCTAATGATGGTTGTATGAAAAATATGCATTCTGGAAAACGTATTTTGTACGAAACATATGCAGAGGATGTAAAAAATCCAACCTTACATCGTATGTAAGAGAAATTTGTTTTGCGTGTATGAACTATGAATTTACGACGACTGAAAGCTAAATATATTCGCTGGTTGCAAAAAGTGACAGAAGCCCTTCAATCTAGGTAAAATGTTCATCAGGGATATAGGAAGCAGAAACTGAATAACAAAACGGAACTATGTACGGCACATTCAAGTGGCCCATATGCACCTAATAACTCGGTTGTAATTGGATTGACTGCTTTCCATTGCTGTAGATAGCTATCAGAACAGTGGAAAAATGTTGCCCTAGGTCATTGGTTACGTAAATCGTGTTTCAAGGTGTGAAGAATGTCGCGGCGATGTGTCTGTTGTATCTGTTCTGCTGTCGTTTGAAGCTGAAAGTGCATCTATTTCAATTAATTCCATACATACCTTTAGGAAAACTCCCAACACAGCCAGCCCATCGGGTTGGCCGGCAGCTTCGGCGAAGCTCGTGTACTTGGTCTGGTTCCAGTGAACCAGATGCATCTCGCCTGCGAAGGACTCTCCGTCCACGGTATGCTCAGAGCCCCGACGATCCGAGCAGCCCCAGTGAGCGTGGAATTGCTCCAGGATGAAGGTTTCATCCTGCAGTGGGCCTCCGGTCAGTTCGGAACCCTTGCCGTTCACATCCACGCGCCAGCAGTAACCCGGGTTGACCAGGCTGCGTGTGTTCTCCGGAACGTACGTCCAGCGCAGTGGGTTTGCCTTCAGATCGCTGGACTGCTGGGTGCTATCTGTGACAATATCAATCGGTGACTGGCGCTGGCCAGCCGCCTGTGGGTACATTTCTGACCATACATGAGGTCCTGAAAAGAAAAAGGGAAATTGGCAATTGATTAGTTTTCGCCAAGGGAATGAAATCGTGTAGAAGTTTGCGGACAATTGTATAAATAGCTGGGGGCGCTGTCGTGCTAGCCGATCACTTTTACCTTCGTTTTCTGTCTCATGATTGCTCAAACAATATTTATATATACTGTACATGCATACAAACCTAGTAAATATTGTGCTTCGATAATCGCGTTTCAATTGTTTACACCACCAATTCCCTTCTCGCCATTTCAATCGAGTTTGGATAGTTTGCTGATTAGACTGATAACTGCGTGGTCGTACTTGAATGAATACGGTGAAATAGATAGTATTGATTCTAGCAGCAAATTTGCCCTCTCAGTTCCTATTTACTGTACTCTAATCAGTGTGATAAACCGTTAAGCTTGAAGTAACTTATCAGATTGTGAGTAGCCACTATCGTGACTTATATAGGAGACGAAATGATTTACACAAACTAGATTTACTTGAGCAATCAGAACTTGTACTTTATACAAACACTATTACCTGTTTGCTCAACACCAGCACATTGAGCGGTGGGAAGCTCGTGACTGAACGTTCATGACCTTGGATGTTGATAAACCGTTTAACTGGATTTTCCGAAGAAAGCTCTAGGCGCAAATGTGAGCTTAAATCGTGATGTGTCGCTACATGTAGATGGGAGGAACTTTTCGTCACCATTTAGCAGCGGCACTACACAGTCAATAGCCACCCATCGACCGGGGATTCGTGCTTAATTGCATCACAAACAGTTACAAAAGTGTATCATGTCGTCATGAAGCCCTTGTAATTGAGTGGGTGTATGCAATTGTGCTTCGTTTGCAAATTATGTGCTCTGTCCGTGTGGAGCATTATTTCTTAAGAGGGAACATGTGTCTATTATTTGTAAGCGCACGTGGGAAAAAAAAGTGTTAATGACGGGATGAATGGATGAGGATGAGCAATTGAGAGGTGCTCCTGATCGTCAATGTTTTGCGTCACAGAATAGAGAGTTTTTGTTCTCGTTGAGATAGATGAAGCAATACCGAATGGTACACATTGTTCAATCAACCATTAAATGTTGATGGTATTTGAAAATTTATCTTATTTTTGACTACGTTTATATTGGATTTGCAATTACATATCTGAATCACTTTGCAGCGATTCTTAGTTAAACACACATAAGATGTGAGGCCACAAACCCTTGCACAAATGATTTTGAGTGACATATCGTCGCCAAACGGAACTAGTAAAATTAGTTTACGTTCGCAAAGCCAGATATAGACAAGCATTTGCACAACATGGCCCAAAGCAGATCTTTATTCACGGTTACAGATCTGTGGGTGAAGAACTGTTTCAGGACTTCCTTATTTTTCCTTGATTTGTTTTCCGTCGATCTTATTTTTCGTGCTGAGCACCAATGCTATCGACGCCAGGGAGGCAGCTCCTATACCTGGACCCTACATATCGACCCATCAACTCATGAACCGGGGACCAACGGCTTTACTTTCAGGACTTCGTTTGGCTAAAAACGATCAAGGATTTTATGAATCCCTCTGAAGGGACCCTACACGATTACTTTTATTGACAATAATTGTATTGTCAATACATTCTTTATTGACGTCAATACATCGATATTGACAATTTTTCTATATTCACATCATCACTATTATTTTCAATAATTTCCCTTCGCGTCAATACATTGATACGTGTGGAGTTTGCTTGACGACAATAGGTTAAAGTTTTGACATAGTGCAAAAAAGCCCATAAATTTCAAAGTGTGCTAAACTTAAACAATCGTTAAATTTTAAGTGCACTGCCGCAACATTTCCAAGAATAAACAACTCCATTAGGTACCTCTAATCGTAAACGCCAACGAACCATCCGGGAGAGATTGCACTTCTGATAGCGGATTCTATTTCGAATCTTGATTCTCCTCTTTTGCATTCAAGACCACGTGAAACCGGTTCCAAAAGTATAAACAAAAATCTGTTTCGCGTCATTGTTATTGTTGTCTCTCCATTCCTACGAAGAACGGTCAATATCACAAACCAGTTATCAAGTCTGGATCGAAAGTTGCCTGGCTGCGATTTCCAGCACTCCAAAGATCAAGTGCATTCAAATATATTTCCTACGTATAGAGTGGAACGCACTATGCGCTTCTAAAAATAGATCATAATTTTACATAAAGATCCCAATCGATCGCGCAATGGTATGCGTTGCTAGCTTGGGTTCGCTTGCAACTGCATTTCTATGCAACTCCTCTGAACCTACTCACATAGTTTTACTTTCCGTTCGTCTGCGGCACAGTTCGTTTCACCGCGAATTTTATTACGAACCTCTACGACATGTGCAATAAACTTATTAGGCCACGGATTATATCATACAACTACAACTTTGGCTTTCGCTCGCAGTGTCATACCAGTAAGTAGTGTACACGCTATTTCAAACTACCCAAATTTGGGTAGAATCCACCCAGATCGGTCAAAACTGAATCTATTTTGGGAGTGACAAGTTGTCAAATGCACAAAATCGATCGAATTCATGTCGATGTTGTCCATTTGTCAACTTGTCACTCCCAACATAGTTTACCCATTTTTGGGTAGGTTCGATTTTGACCGATCTGGGTGGATTCTACCCAAATTTGAGTAGCGTGCAGGGTAGTTTGTTTCGCGCAATTAGCCTCCCAGCTAAATCATCAAAAATATCAACACTGGAGTCAGTGAACTTTCTAGAAGCAGAAAACAAAATAAAAAATATTTGTTTACCTTTTGTTCGAACGGTTCGTGACTCGTGATCAGCTGTGATCGAGCTGCACGAGACATCTTCACGTGTGCGGCCAAGCCGCGCCGCACAACCAACGAACGGCATATACGAAGGAGAGAGGAAGATGAAGATCAAACGAAGCATGCGTAGCGTGGTGCCGGAATGGGGAACCACGTTAGTCATTGGTTGGGGATTTTCGAAGCTGGTCAAAACTAGTTTCCGCTGTTGTTTACTACAGTCGGCTTCAATTTTGCACTGTCATAAACGACGCCAATGGTGGCAATGTTTTGCAAACTCGATAAACAGATTTTAATGAGTGGGTATTTTTCCTTGAAGAAACTGATTTGGGAGAGGAACTGGGGTTGCGGTGTCTATTTTGGGTCCTATCAGTGTCTAAAGTTTTATCGTAGATAGGTAAATTAATGATTAATTTTAAGTTAAGTGATTAGTCAAATTCGTAGAATTCCTTCTGCACTTTTTGGAAAACCTGAAGAATTATATGGCCGTTTTTTAGATCCGCAGTAAATCAAAAAATCCGTAAATCTACGGATAAATTCGTAGACTTCACCCCACTGGATCCTATCGCCAAAACCTAGGATCTAAGTGAATTCGAAATCAGAAGCTTCTACGTTAACAATTAGACTGCGATTGAATAGGACATTGTTGAGTTTTCACTTACATTTTACAGATGAGAAATTTTAGAATAGCCCTCCTATCTACGCGTGCTTATTTATGACGGACAAGGACTTAACGACAACCATTGTCGAGTCCAGTCCGATAATCAATAGATCATCACCCGAAGAATTTTTGAACATTATAATTTATGTGTGAAGATGTGTTATTTCTTATACCACGTTCAGACTATAGCTGATGTCACGTTATACAGGAAATCTTGCAATGAGCACTCCTAGGTCAATTTTTATTTCTAGAAATCGTATGTATGACATTTGATATCATGATAGCCTTTATTACAAAATTTGAGCTACATAGTCTGAACGTAGTTTTAAGTGAAAGTTCCCCGATTGAACCACAGCCTGAGTGGGCTAAAATAGGTGTAGTAGTCCTACAAAGCGGTTTGAGATGTACAGGCGTAAACAGCGTCACTCTTAGACGAGGTTCTTTTTTTCGTCTAATTGATGATCTATTAAGGTATGACTTTTCAGAAACTTTTAGGGTTAAAAATGGAGTTCCATGACCATCGATCCACTATATTATAAATCGTTCGGTATTTGTGCAACATCGACACTTGCACAATCGATCGACCGTTGTAAACAACGGCGGCGAACCGATCGAGCCGGTTACCCTCTCTACCTGCATTGCTGGACTTCTTTGGAATTTTGAAATGCTCTGTTGCCATAGTTGTGTTTATACTTGTTGCCATCGTCACGTGATTGATGCTCGTGCGAAGAAAAAAAAAAACCCGCTGTATAACCACAAAAAGTCTGCATGCTGTCGTCGTCGTTGGTTGTCCACAGATCGTACAAACATACCCATCGTTTGGTATTGGTAAGCAAACGGCTCGCAAAGCATGACATTCAACACGTGCTCAACGGTTTTCTTAGTGTAAAAGACTCCCGAGCTCATATGGCGTGTGCGAGGCGAAAATTTACAGCACTTCGCTTATCGTGGTTAGGATCTGTTTCTTTTTATTTTCCTATTTCTTGTGATGTTTGCTGATGTAAATTAGCCGGCATTTGGTTAAAATAACTGCTATAAAAAGATTGCTTGATAACCGGTATGGTGCAGGAACGTCATGCGACTTGATGACACTTGATTATAGCGATACTACTTCGGTTGGCTTCTAACGAGCCCCATCCTGAATACAGGGTATTATCTCAGTCGCATTGTCCGTCAATGAACTTTCCCTCTCGAAACAAGACGAGCAATCAATCTAGAGCGCTGCTTAGTCGATCTTTGCATGCAGTTTCATATAATAAGGTAAGTGCACCAGTATTGGCCATGAGCTTCTATTTTGACCATACTTCAAAAATTGAATCACAATCTAAGGTGCGTTTTGTGAGGGATTTGTATGTGTACCCCGATGAATATGATTTGAATAAATAATCTTAACAGAACTCATGATCTCAAACTTGTAAAAAACGTTAAATATCGCCAAAATATGGCCAAAATAGGAGCATGGCCAATATAGAAGCGTTTTCCCTACAAGGATAAAAATTAAAAAGTAGTGTTTCTTCCATCTTGTAACATGGTATGCATGTTCCTAGCGTGGGTTTCG